CAAAAGCTAGAACAAGCGTGAATCGGTACGAGGAAAATACGATGACGTTAGTGACTCTGACGGTCATACACGAGTGAGTCACGGTGATGGTGGTGATGTCATCGTGATGGTGGGGGTGGTGGTGGGGGTGGTGGTGGGGGTGGGGGTGGTGGTGGTGATGTTGTTACCGTGACGACGACGATGATGGTGATGATGATGCTTATCATTGTAGAGCAGTGACACTGATGATGATGATGTTAATCACTGTAGTGTAGTGACACTGATGATGATGATGTTAATCACTATAGTGCAGTGACACTGATGATGATGATGATAATCACTGTAGTGCAGTGACACTGATGATGATGATGATGATGTTAATCACTGTAGTGCAGTGACACTGATGATGATGATGTTAATCACTGTAGAGCAGTGACACTGATAATGTTAATCACTGTAGTGTAGTGACACTGATGATGATGATTTTAATCACTGTAGTGTAGTGACACTGATAATGATGATAATCACTGTAGTGTAGTGACACAGATGATGATGATGTTAATCACTGTAGTGTAGTGACACTGATGATGATAATCACTGTAGTGCAGTGACACTGATGATGATGTTAATCACTGTAGTGTAGTGGCACTGATGATGATGATGACGATGATTATCACTGTAGAGCAGTGACACTGATGATGATGATGGTGCTAGCAGTGACACTGATGATGGTGATGCTTCACACTGTAGTGCAGTGACACTGATGATGATGATGTTAATCACTGTAGTGTAGTGACACTGATGATGGTGATGCTTCACACTGTAGAGTAGTGACACTGATGATGATGGGCGTGGTGATGACGATGATGATGGTGATGTGCCTCCCGTTCCCAGTGGTAGGGGTGAGGATGAGGCTCCGGCGCTAATTCATGGTGATGGTGGTCGTGACGCCGCACCTTAGGCGCTAACAGACCACTTCACCTCAATGGGGCTTTTCGCGTGATGCAGATTTCAAGTGTCCTGCGTTTTTACAAACACAACATTTGTGCGTGCGTGCGTGCATCTCTGCGGTGTGCGCGCGTGTTCGACGCTACCCCAGGTCTGTCGCTCCGCACGAAGCTTCAGTGTCCTCTCGGCCACGGTCATCCCCCCCTCCCTTCTCTATGCTTGTGAAACGTGGACCCCCCCCCCCCCCCACACACACTCTGGTGGAACATCTGCGCCGGTTAGAAACATTGGGGCTGGCGCACGGCTCCGATCCATCCTGGGTTTAACCTGCAGGCCGGTTTGTGTGAGGAGTTCACAAATCCTTGAAAGATCTGGACACATTCCCATCGGTGAGCGCCTCCGGCAGGCAAGGCTGCGTTGGCTGGTTCAGGTAGCCCGCATGCCCAGGCACCGCATGCCCAGGCACCGCATGCCCAGGCACCGCATGCCCAGGCACCGCATGCCCAGGCACCGCATGCCCAGCCACCGCATGCCCAAGCAGCTTCTGTTTGGCTGCATAGAGGGGGCTGAACGGGCACGACATGGATAGATGGACTGATGCGGTTCGGGAGGACGTGAAGCTGAATGGACTTGCCGATGACCGGTACCAGCGGTGTCAAGATCGGCCTCTGTGGAGGAGGCTCGTGAAGGACGATGCTGCTACTGGGCAATTGGAGGCAGTCGCCCTCCAACAACAACGAGGGCAGAGGAGCGACGCTCACAACAACGAGCGGATCGCCGGGCTGATAAAATACAGAAAGTTGGCAAAGTAGGGGGTATAGCTGGTGGTGCATCTTCCAGTCATTTCGGTTAGCCAACCCATGGCACCTGCTGGGTCTGCCCCGTGACCTCGGGTCAGCAGCGAGCCTTCGACACTTCACGTGGCCTCAAAGTGCACCTAGCCTGGCACAGGCGCCGTGGTGACGTCACCGGGGTATTGTTGCGTGTGTTACCAGTGAGGAAATATCTAAAACGGTCCTGCGCCTCCCCCTAGGTCGACTCAGCCTCAAATGAGTACCTGGTGTGCTGGTAAACATCGCCACTGGGGAGACAAAGGCAGCCGGGCGTGGTGCTGGCCACCCGCGCCCTCGTGTACCGTGTCGGCCTTTGTCATGGTCTGTGTGAGCGATGTGTGTTTGTTTATCTGTCTTAGTATTGTACGCCTGTGTTTGTGTGTTTAGCTCTGGTGTTTATCTGTGTGTTTATCTCTGTGTTTATCTACGTGTTTATCTCTTGTGTGTTTGTGTGTGTTTATCTCTGTGTGTATCTCTGTGTGTTTATCTGTGTGTGTTTATCTCTGTGTGTATCTCTGCGTGTGTTTATGTGTTTATCTGTGTTTGTGTGTTTATCTACGTGTTTATCTCTGTGTGTTTGTGTGTGTTTATCTCTGTGTGTGTGTCTGTGTGTCTATGTATCTGTGTGTTTATCTCCGTGTGTTTATCTGCGTGTCTATGTATCTGTGTGTCTATGTATCTGTGTGTTTATCTGTGTGTGTATCTGTGTGTTTATCTCTGTGTGTTTATCTACGTGTTTATCTCTGTGTGTGTTTATCTGTGTGTTTATCTGTGTCTGTATGCATCTGTGTGTTTATCTTTGTGTTTATCTCTGTGCGTGTTTATGCGTTTATCTGTGTTTGTGTGTTTATCTACGTGTTTATCTCTGTGTGTTTATCTGTGTATGTGTTTATCTGAGTGTTTTATCTGCGTGTTGTTTGTGTGTAGATTTACGGTTCGCACAAATCAATGCCTGCGTCGATACACGTGGGCTGGTTCTCGTGGCACCGAATCGCCGCATCCGGCAGTGATCACGGTGTCTCAATGACGCCGGTGTTGGCGATAGTTGTGGTTCTGATTGGGCGATACAGGCGGTGGGCGGTGTGGTTTATCATGGTCCTAGTGATGGTGATTTCACCATGACAGTTGTAATGAGGGCGATCATGATGATGATGATAATTGTTGTGGTTCTGATTGGGCGATACAGGCGGTGGGCGGTGTGGTTTATCATGGTCCTAGTGATGGTGATTTCACCATGACAGTTGTAATGAGGGCGATCATGATGATGATAATTGTTGTGGTTCTGATTGGGCGATACAGGCGGTGGGCGGTGTGGTTTATCATGGTCCTAGTGATGGTGATTTCACCATGACAGTTGTAATGAGGGCAATGATGATGATGATTGCTGTGGTTCACAGTGGGCGATACAGGCGGTGGGCGGTGTGGTTTATCATGGTCCTAGTGATGGTGATTTCACCATGACAGTTGTAATGAGGGCGATGATGATAATGAGGATGGTTGTGGTTCTGATTAGGCGATACAGACGGTGGGCGGTGTGGTTTATCATGTTCCTAGTGATGGTGATTTCACCATGACAGTTGTAATGAGGGCGATGATGATGATGATGGTTGTGGTTCTGATTGGGCGATACAGACGGTGGGCGGTGTGGTTTATCATGGTCCTAGTGATGGTGATTTCACCATGACAGTTGTAATGAGGGCGATGATGATGATGATGGTTGTGGTTCTGATTGGGCGATACAGACGGTGGGCGGTGTGGTTTATCATGGTCCTAGTGATGGTGATTTCACCATGACAGTTGTAATGAGGGCGATGATGATGATGATAATGGTTGTGATTCAGAGTGGGCGATACAGGCGGTGGGCGATGTGGATGGCCACGGTCGTGGCGATGGTGATTTTACCACTGCACTTGTCGTGAGGGCGATGTTGAAGATGATCGTGATGATTATATTCTGGGCACGATTCATTCATTCATTCATCACGCACGTGATTAGCCACTCTGTTGAGCTGCTCTCATCTGTGGCTGCCAGGTCGCTTCTGCAAAGTAAGTTAATTCCTCAGTGGGGGCTTTGCCTGGTAGCATGGGGGATGGTTTAGTTATATTTGTACGCTTTTTGGGTGACTTGTTTACCTTTACTGTACTTTGCACTGTCGTGTTTTTTGCGTTGTTGATTTGCTTGTTGTTGTCACGTCGCCCCGACTGGACTTTTTCGTGACCGAAAAAAACAAAGAGCTCCGTGACTCATCGGATTTCCTCCCCCAGCAATAAATTAACAAATGCTCTGACCCTTGACGGGTCGGCGGGGAGACCGTCGGCGCCAAACGTCGTCGGCCTCTCGCGACGGCAGCATTTTTGCGCGCAAAACTTCTCTCTCACTCGCTGCCTTACGCCGGCAGTAGAGTCAACCTCTGGTGTGAGTGGACTAGTGGCCACGGGAGGTAACGACAGGGGAGTCAGCCTGCAGTGCGAACGCACTAGTGGCCACGGGAGGTATTGACAAGGGAGTCAGCCTGCAGTGCGATCGCACTAGTGGCCACGGGAGGTAATGACAAGGGAGTCAGCCTGCAGTGCGAACGCACTAGTGGCCACGGGAGGTAATGACAGGGGAGTCAACCTGCAGTGCGAACGCACTAGTGGCCACGGGAGGTAATGACAGGGGAGTCAGCCTGCAGTGCGATCGCACTAGTGGCCACGCGAGGTAATGACAGGGGAGTCAACCTGCAGTGTGGCCACGGTGGCCAGGAGATGTTAACTCCCTCGCCTGGTGTACAGAAGGTCGTGGGTTCGATCCTGACCCTTGACACCTGCTGTATATTTGGAGTCTTCGTGTCTCTCTGTCATTATCATCGGGGTGGCTTGGAGATGTTAATGCCCTCGCCTGGTGTGCAGGATGTCGTGGGTCTAATGAAAAAAATAGTTTTAGTTTTCAAATGGCACATCTGTTGGTATTGCCGGCTTGCTGCGGTGGCTTCCTTCCCTGGCTTGTCTGTGGTTCCTCCTCCTCCTCGTGACTCCTCCTCGCACTCTCCCCTTCTCTGTTTCTCTACGAGAGTCGAGGACCGCAAATCCCGTGCGGTGGTAGCAGTGCATTGCGGAATTGGCATCGTCATCACTTTGAAGCTTTACGCGTCACCAAAGCTTGGCCTACAATTGTGACTCAACGCACGCTTTTTTTTGTCTTTTTGTTTTCTTCCCCTCCCACCATCCCCTCCCTCCTCTCACCCCACCTCCACCCCAGGTGACTGCTGAACTCTCCGCGTAAACAACAACAACAACAAAACTACCCGCCTGGACACTCCTGCAACCACTCCGGATGAGAGACACAAAGTGAGACTGGCTATTTACCCAAGATCAGGGGGCCAGACCACCAGCAGAAGACGGCCTCCCCGGGAGGCATTGTCCGGGCCACTGATTTGTTTCAGCCGCTCATCGGGTCCAGCCACAGAGCCCCCCCTGCCCCCCCCCCCCCCCCCGCCCAGCAGGGAGACCGCTGCTGCGACAAGACGTCAGGCAGCCAGCCCGCTAAGCTAAGCGTCGTCACGGCCATTCGCTCGCCCGTCCTTGCGCGGTCATTCTGTTCCTCCCGGCACGAAAAGCTGCGCACGCCGATTCCCACATCCCCGCCTCCTCTGAACGGCGTACCTCAATAATCCACCTCGAAAAAAATCCATCGATCCCGACCGGCGGACCGTCCTTCATCCCCGACGCGTTGATGTTATTTGCTTGGGTGGATATATCCAAACGCCGCGCGCATGCACGCGGGCTTCCCCCGAACGTCGATTTCGGAACATCTGAAACTTCACCGCGGGCGTCCCCGAAATCCATCGGCGAATCAAAAAGACCCCACGCTTAAACGGGCCCCGCATTCGACGCCTATTTGAAGCTCAACATTCCTACCCGAAATATATCACAGAGAATATCGCAAGTAACATCAGAGATAATATCATTAGAGGGAGCGACGCCCTCCATAGTTACATAAGTGTCCCACTGTGCTAAGCGTAAGCGCGACAAGTCGGTGACTACCCCGCCCCCCCCCCCCCCTCCCAACCGCCACTGGCACAATCGACGCAGGCAGGCCCCTGAGGCCTTGGGCCCAGCAAAGTCGTCAACGGCCTGCAGCTCCTCGGCACTGAGATATCCCGATTGTCGGGACACCACCACCGCCACCACCATCGCCGCCATCTGTCGCTAAACAAAAAAAAACGCGGCGTGGCTCCTTCATGCCACGGGACCTCAGCAGGCCCCTCACAAGTATCTCAAAAGCCTCCAGACGACAACGACGTCGTGAACTCTGGCGAACCGACCGGTCTTTTAGCCCCTCTCACCAGACTCTCAGGGCCTCAACTCGCCCCGGGCCATAACAGCCTCTCGACCTCCAGCATCTGGTCTTTCAGGATCCCAGTTTTCTAGGCACGCACCTCCCCCCCCCCACCAATCCCTCAAATAACCTTTGGGGGCTCCAAAGCCGCATTCGGCCATTGGGCCTTGCACAACAACCTCAGGCCTCTACCTATGCCTCCGAACCCAATCGGCCTCTTGTAACTCAGCCCCACGCTTGCAGGGTGTCTATATCATCCCCCCCCACCCCTCATGCTGTAGTTTTTAAGACTTTGGGGGGCCCCCTCCTATAGCAGCATCTCGTTCCCTTGTCCACGAAACATCCTTCAGGCCACCGGATCCCCTCCCCCCCCCCCCCCCCCGGCTTTGGAGACCTCCTGGCACCGCTGAGGCTCTGTCCAGGCTTCGTCCCGCTCATCCCCGCAGCGGGCGTGGGTGCGGAGGATCGGTTGAGCGGGGAGAGGGAGAAAGAGGAGGAAGCAAGAGGAGGGGAGGAAGGAGAACAAGAGGAGAGGAGGAAGAGGAGGAGGAGGAAGCAAGAGGAGGAGGAGGAGGAGGGGGGCAAGGAGGAAGGGTCGCTGCGCGGCCTGGCCCCCGGCCCGGCGATGCCGGAGCAAAGCAACGACTATCGCGTGGTGGTGTTCGGCGCGGGCGGCGTGGGCAAGAGCTCGCTGGTGCTGCGCTTCGTCAGGGGCACGTTCCGCGAGGCCTACGTGCCCACCATCGAGGACACCTACCGCCAGGTGGGGTCCGCCTAGATCACGCAAGGATCATGCCGTGCGGGTGCCGGTGCGTCCGCCGAAGGGGGGGGGAGGGGGCCTCAGTTCTCTCCGTGCACCAAGGGTCCCAGTGCCCGACCGCACACAGCCACTGTCCCAGCTGTTTTCCTCCGCACGCGATGGGCACACGAAGATAAAAACGAAGGCCCCCCCCCCCGGTGTGGCCCTTGGAGATGGATGCGTGTCATCGGATTATCTTATCTTCGCGGAATTTGTGCAGCGCCTTAACCAAGGCGATTTTCAAAGAACCACCAACAGGCACATATTAATGTAATGGTGGAGATGGGGGGGGGGGGCGAATGAAATGGATGAGAGGAAGCAGTGGGGTAGAATCTGTGAATTTTGTGAAAGCAAAATTTATCAAGTAAACGATGATGGATGGATTGAAATTAATGGGGAATGAGTGGCATGCATCTAGTGAGAATATGAAGATGGAACAGTAACGGTGGTGGTTTTGAGGTTGAGGTTATTGGGGGGGGGGGGGGGGGGGCCGTGAGGTGAGCTTGGGGTAACGAGAAGTGAGTTTTGAGTGAGGAGCGGAAACTTAGTGAGCGAAGGGTGACCGCTTAATGTGGAGGGGGGAGTTTGTTACAGTGAAGGGGGTGGCCGAGAAGATAGAGAGAGCGGAAGTGTGGCTTGAGCACGAGGACAAGGAGGAACAGAGAGACAGAGAGAGAGACAGCAAAGAGTGTGAACGTAGAAAGGGGCGAGAAGGCGACACGTAGAGAAGGACGCACGAGTTTGCAAGGCACGGTGGGGGCGAGATCATGAAGTGGTTCTCAAACCGTTTTTGTTTGGCGACTGCCTGTGCACCCCACACTTGTTGAATTTTGTTTAAAAACCCAGTAGCCAACCCCGGCCCGCCCTGCCACCGGCCACAACATGGCTCGGGGAAGTAAATGCTCCGTGTGAATAATGACCGCCAATATATTAACCGCCTATTTTGCGAGACCATCCAAACTAGCCAGTAGCTATGCGTGTATGTCCGTATATCTCTGTATATATGTGTACATCTCTGTGTATATCTGCGTTCATCTCTCCCATGTATCTCTCGCTCTGTATCTCTGCGTATCGCGCAGGTGATCAGCTGCGACAAGAGTGTGTGCACGCTGCAGATCACCGACACCACGGGCTCGCACCAGTTCCCCGCCATGCAGCGGCTGGCGATCTCGCGCGGCCACGCCTTCCTCCTCGTCTACTCGGTGACGAGCCGCCAGAGCCTCGAGGAGCTGCGGCCCATCTACGACGTCATCGTGCAGATCAAAGGTGCGGGCGCGCCGCCGGTCTCGCGATGCGCGACCGGCGACGCGCGGATATTACGTCGGCGGCGGAGTCGTCGTCGTTGTCGTCGTCGTCGTCGTTATCGTCGTCGTCATCATCATTTTCATTGTCGTCATTGTCGTCGTCGAGAAGCAGTGCCTGAAATCCCTACCGCTCGCCTCCTCCTGCTGCTGCTGCACTCGCACATACTCCCACGTCTCACGTCTCACCTCCAACTCCCGTGCCCCACGTCCCACGCCCCCGGCCTCTCCACCACCCCGCCCCTCCCGGCGTCGTCCCCCGTCGTCCCGCAGGCGACATCTCCGCCGTGCCCATGATGCTCGTGGCCAACAAGTGCGACGAGACGGCGCGCGAGGTGGCCGCCGGCGAGGGCGAGGCGCAGGCCAAGGCTTGGCGCTGCGCCTTCACCGAGACGTCGGCCAAGATGGACTACAACGTCACCGAGGCCTTCCAGGAGCTGCTCAACCTGGAGAAGAGGCGGCACATGAGCCTGCAGGTATGGCGCCGTTCTTGTAGACGCCGCCGAACTGATCGTGAACACCCCCCCCCCATTCTCGAGATGCCCCCCCCCTAGCCACCCCCCCCCCAACCGCCAAATCTCTTTTGTTTCTTATTCGGAGGGGCACGGCAACGTTTAATTTTGTTTCAAAGGCGTCGTTACCCGAGAACCGTACCGACGCGACCCGCCGATCCCTCTACGGTAGCCCGGTGGCCAACACTGTGCTGCGCGTCCCTCCCGCGCGGCCTTGTGCGAGCCTCAGTACCGAGGAAGAGTTTATTTTATTTCAGGTTTTCTTCCGGTTACGTTCCAACGGCGGGAGGACGGCCAATGACGCACGCACGTCATCGGAACGGGGAAGGGCCGACGGTGGCGGATGTTTGTGCCGGGTCCTGGGCCTTTCCTAGATCAACTCGGCCTCAAATGAGCACGCGGTCGCGTGGGTAAAAACATCAGCGTTGTGGGGAGACAAAGGCGGCCGGGCACCGGTGCTGGCCGCCCTCGTGTGCCGTGCTGCCGTTCGCAGGTGCTGCTCGCAAACGGCACTTGCCCCAACAGGCCTAGCAGCGTGTACGGCTATATGGGGGATCTTTATCTTTGTGTATGTGTGTGCAATGGGGAGCGGTGGCGCAGAGGTTAGCTCGCTGCGCTACGAACCCGGCGACCCGAGTTCGATTCCCGCTCACGACCAACAACCGGTGACGGTTATCTGAGCCAGTCTTGGGCCTCCCCTCTAGGTTGACTCAGCCTCAAATGAGTACCTGGTGCGGTGTGTAGTGAACATTGCCACTTGGAGAGACAAAGGTTGCCGGGCGTGGTGCTGGCCACTTACCACCCTCGTGTGCCGTGCCGGCATTCATAGGCGCTGCTACTCGCTAACAGAATCAGAATCTGTATTTATACTGGAAGAATTTGATGAGCTATAAAGCTCTTATTAACAGATGTCCAGTAGGGGGCCATCCATAAATGACGTCACGCACCTAGGGGGGGGGGGTCAGACATTTGTGACGAGGGAGGGGGGTTTGAGAAATGTGACGTCATATCAAAATGCGCAACTTTAAATAAATACAGACAACACGTTCTACTTAATTAAATAGCCTTTTTAATAAATGTTTTCTCCTACAACATCAGAGTGCAGCGCCACATTAAATACGCACTACAATGACAATAGTTTAAAGCGATTTGAAGCATGTTTTCTTTTTTGGGGGGAAGGGGGGGGGCAGAGCTTTGTGACGTCATATTTGAGGGGGGGTAGACTTTTTGTGACGTCGTGTGACGATGGGGGTGGGGGGGGGGGGGTCAAAAATCGTCCGAAATCGCGTGACGTAATTTATGGATGGCTCCTAGGGGCATTGGATTACAACAACAAACAACACAAAACACGATAGGAGTGCAAAGTAAGGTAAAGAAATCACTTATATATACAAATAAAACAAACTAAAATGTTGTCCTACCAGGTGAAGGCCACTGAGCTATTAGTTTATTTCTCAGAAGCGTCCAGGCGACGAATGGCAGCGCACGCAAAGTTGGCCCATCGTCACGTGGACATTTACAGCGGCAAAATGATCTAAAAACGGCACTTGCCCCCGACAGTCTGTCAAGGGTATACAGGGGATCGTTGTCTTTGTGTGTGTGTGTGCGCGTGCAGGTGGATGGGAAAAAAGGTGGAAAGCAATCTTCCCGGAAGCACTTCAAGGGCAAGTGCGTGGTCATGTGATGGAGGTCATGCGATGGAGGTCATGTGGTGGAGGTCATGCGATGGAGGTCACGCGGTGGAGGTTATGAGGTGGAGGTCATGCGGTGGAGGTCATGTGGTGGAGGAGAGGGCTGGGTGGGCGGGGTTAGAGGCAATGGGGGGGGGGGTGTGGGGGATAGTTTGTCGCAGGAAGCAGCCAATCAGAAATGATGGGGGGACGGGGGGGGGCAGGGGGTTATAACATCACGTGGGGTTGCACAGTCCCCACGATGCCAGTAAGCGATTGAAGCCATTTAACAGCACCTTACGGGGACTCCCCTACTTACGAACACACTCGACTTACGAACTTTCAGAGGCAGGAACGAACCTGGTCCGTGTGTCCAGTTGCAGCTGTTCGGACCGAGGGTCGTGAGTTCAACCGCCGCGCGATAGATGGCGGTGGTGGCATCTGCATCTACGAAATCGCGAAGGAGATTACACGACGTTTAAAGCCATTCCCCATTTTAAACTGTACACGCCGTTACAGCCACGTTCGGAATCGACGGGAGTAAAGTTTGGACGTGCGAGCAAATCAACTTACGAACGGACGCCGCTGGAACCCAACTCGTTCGTGAGTAGAGGAGCCCCTGTAATTATTATTTTCAGCCGCGGGAAAAGGTTAGCAAGGTGCGGCCCTGCGATGGCCCAGCACGCTCGGTCCACACTGCTGACTCTGCTAGCAGGAGCTCTGGAGAGCCCAGGCCACCCCCCCCCCCTCGCACCCAGCCGTACGTCCTTTGGAGAGGTGACAGTACCCACACTATGCCAACGCACAAGGGCTGTCAATCGACTGACCCCAGTGTGGCGGTGAACCCCACTTACACTGCGTGGCGCGGCGGTTTTGGCAACTCGGCATCGGCACGGGAAATTGCCAGCGCCCCTCCAGATTAGCACGGTTGGATACGTACGGTGGTGCGAAAGAAGTTGAACATGCACACGTGCATAGACTCACACAGCGACCCATCATAGACTCACACAGAGACCCACCATAGACTCACACAGCGACCCATCATAGTCTCACACAGAGACCCATCATAGTCTCACACACACAGAGACCCATCATAGTCTCACACAGAGACCCATCATAGTCTCACACAGAGACCCATCATAGTCTCACACAGAGACCCATCATAGACTCACACAGAGACCCATCATAGTCTCACACAGAGACCCATCATAGTCTCACACAGAGACCCATCATAGTCTCACACAGAGACCCATCATAGTCTCACACAGAGACCCATCATAGTCTCACACAGAGACCCATCATAGTCGCACACAGAGACCCATCATAGACTCACACAGAGGCCCATCATAGTCTCACATAGAGACCCATCATAGACTCACACAGAGACCCATCATAGTCTCACACAGAGACCCATCATAGTCTCACACAGAGACCCATCATAGTCTCACACAGAGACCTATCATAGACTCACACAGAGACCCATCATAGACTCACACAGAAACCCATCAAAGTCTCACACAGAGACCCATCATAGTCTCACACAGAGACCCATCATAGTCTCACACAGAGACCCATCATAGTCTCACACAGAGACCCATCATAGACTCACACAGAGACCCATCATAGTCTCACACAGAGCCCCATCATAGACTCACACAGGGACCCATAGCCTCACACAGAGACCCATCATAGTCTCACACAGAGACCCATCATAGGCTCACACAGAGACCCATCATAGACTCACACAGGGACCCATAGTCTCACACAGAGACCCATCATAGTCTCACACAGAGAGCCATCATAGTCTCACACAGAGACCCATCATAGTCTCATACAGAGAGCCATCATAGTCTCACACAGAGACCCATCATAGTCTCATACAGAGACCCATCATAGTCTCACACAGAGACCCATCATAGTCTCACACAGAGACCCATCATAGTCTAACACAGAGACCCATCATAGTCTCACACAGAGACCCATCATAGTCTGACACAGAGACCCATCATAGTCTCACACGGAGACCCATCATAGTCTCACACAGAGACCCATCATAGACTCACACAGAGACCCATCATAGTCTCACACAGAGACCCATCATAGTCTCACACAGAGACCCATCATAGTCTCACACAGAGACCCATCATAGTCTCACACAGAGAGCCATCATAGTCTCACACGGAGACCCATCATAGTCTCCCACAGAGACCCATAGACTCACACAGAGACCCATCATAGTCTGACACAGAGGCCTATCATAAACTCACACAGAGACCCACCATAGACTCACACAGAGACCCACCATAGTCTCACACAGAGACCCACCATAGTCTCACACAGAGACCCACCATAGTCTCACACAGAGACCCATCATAGTCTCACCCAGAGACCCATCATAGTCTCACACAGAGACCCATCATAGACTCACACAGAGACCCATCATAGTCTCACACAGAGACCCACCATAGTCTCACACAGAGACCCATCATAGTCTCACACAGAGACCCATCATAGTCTCACACAGAGACCCATCATAGACTCACACAGAGACCCATAGTCTCACACAGAGACCCATCATAGTCTCACACAGAGACCCATCATAGACTCACACAGAGGCCCATCATAGTCTCACAGAGAGAAACATCATAGCCTCACACAGAGACCCATAGACTCATACAGAAACCCATCATAGTCTCACACAGAGACCCATCATAGTCTCACACAGAGACCCATCATAGTCTCACACAGAGACCCATCATAGTCTCACACAGAGACCCATCATAGACTCACACAGAGACCCATCATAGTCTCACAGAGAGACCCATCAGTGGCTCACACAGAGACCCATAGACTCATACAGAGACCCATCATAGTCTCACAGAGAGACCCATCATAGTCTCACACAGAGACCCATCATAGACTCACACAGAGACCCATAGTCTCACACAGAGACCCATCACAGTCTCACACAGAGACCCATCATAGTCTCACACAGAGACCCATCATAGTCTCACACAGAGACCCATCATAGTCTCACACAGAGACCCATCATAGTCTCACACAGAGACCTATCATAGACTCACACAGAGACCCATCATAGACTCACACAGAAACCCATCAAAGTCTCACACAGAGACCCATCATAGTCTCACACAGAGACCCATCATAGTCTCACACAGAGACCCATCATAGTCTCACACAGAGACCCATCATAGACTCACACAGAGACCCATCATAGTCTCACACAGAGCCCCATCATAGACTCACACAGGGACCCATAGCCTCACACAGAGACCCATCATAGTCTCACACAGAGACCCATCATAGGCTCACACAGAGACCCATCATAGACTCACACAGGGACCCATAGTCTCACACAGAGACCCATCATAGTCTCACACAGAGAGCCATCATAGTCTCACACAGAGACCCATCATAGTCTCATACAGAGACCCATCATAGTCTCACACAGAGACCCATCATAGTCTCACACAGATACCCATCATAGTCTAACACAGAGACCCATCATAGTCTCACACAGAGACCCATCATAGTCTGACACAGAGACCCATCATAGTCTCACACGGAGACCCATCATAGTCTCACACAGAGACCCATCATAGACTCACACAGAGACCCATCATAGTCTCACACAGAGACCCATCATAGTCTCACACAGAGACCCATCATAGTCTCACACAGAGACCCATCATAGTCTCACACAGAGAGCCATCATAGTCTCACACGGAGACCCATCATAGTCTCCCACAGAGACCCATAGACTCACACAGAGACCCATCATAGTCTGACACAGAGGCCTATCATAAACTCACACAGAGACCCACCATAGACTCACACAGAGACCCACCATAGTCTCACACAGAGACCCACCATAGTCTCACACAGAGACCCACCATAGTCTCACACAGAGACCCATCATAGTCTCACCCAGAGACCCATCATAGTCTCACACAGAGACCCATCATAGACTCACACAGAGACCCATCATAGTCTCACACAGAGACCCACCATAGTCTCACACAGAGACCCATCATAGTCCTCACACAGAGACCCATCATAGTCTCACACAGAGACCCATCATAGACTCACACAGAGACCCATAGTCTCACACAGAGACCCATCATAGTCTCACACAGAGACCCATCATAGACTCACACAGAGGCCCATCATAGTCTCACAGAGAGAAACATCATAGCCTCACACAGAGACCCATAGACTCATACAGAAACCCATCATAGTCTCACACAGAGACCCATCATAGTCTCACACAGAGACCCATCATAGTCTCACACAGAGACCCATCATAGTCTCACACAGAGACCCATCATAGACTCACACAGAGACCCATCATAGTCTCACAGAGAGACCCATCAGTGGCTCACACAGAGACCCATAGACTCATACAGAGACCCATCATAGTCTCACAGAGAGACCCATCATAGTCTCACACAGAGACCCATCATAGACTCACACAGAGACCCATAGTCTCACACAGAGACCCATCACAGTCTCACACAGAGACCCATCATAGTCTCACACAGAGACCCATCATAGACTCACACAGAGACCCATCATAGTCTCACACAGAGACCCATCATAGTCTCACACAGAGACCCATCATAGACTCACACAGGGACCCATAGTCTCACACAGAGACCCATCATAGTCTCACACAGAGACCCATCATAGACTCACACAGAGACCCATCATAGTCTCATACAGAGACCCATCATAGTCTCACACAGAGACCCATCATAGTCTCACACAGAGACCCATCATAGACTCACACAGAGACCCATAGTCTCACACAGAGACCCATCATAGTCTCACACAGAGACCCATCATAGTCTCACACAGAGACCCATCATGGTCTCCCACAGAGACCCATAGACTCACACAGAGACCCATCATAGTCTCACACAGAGACCCATCATAGTCTCACACAGAGACCCATCATAGTCTCACACAGAGACCCACCATAGACTCACACAGAGAGCCACCATAGTTTCACACAGAGACCCATCATAGTCTCATACAGAGACCCATCATAGTCTCACACAGAGACCCATCATAGTCTCACACAGAGACCCATCATAGACTCACACAGAGACCCAT